ATCTAGTGCCAAAAATAACAGAAGTAAGTACACTAAAGACTGAATAAAAACATCCGGCCAAGTGTTTCTGTCTAGTTCAGTTTCCGTTGCTGTGATCAAACACTGAACAAAATCAACTAGGGAAGAAAAACGGTATTTCATCTCACAAGTGACAGTCTGTTATTGGGGAGCCAAGGCAGGAACACGGAGACGTGAACTGAGGCAGAGACCATGGAGGAGGACTGGCTTGCTTCTTGGCTCACCCTCAGCTGTCTTATACAGCTCAACGCCATCTTCCTGAGGTTGGTACTGTCAACAGTGAGCTAGGCTTTGTAGCTGGTATTTTCTTTGTGCCACCAACCAACTCCCAAATAAAGACATGGAAACTTATTAGTAACTATGACCCAGCCTTAGCTTAGGCTTGTCCCACTAGCTCCTTTAACTTAATTTAACCTGTTTCTATTCATCTACATTTGCTGAAGGGCTTTTTACCTTTCTTTTATTCTGTATGTCCTACTTTCCTGCTTCCTCTCTGTCTGTCTGTCTGGCCCCTTGCATCTCCCTGTCATTTCTTTTTCTTTCTTCTTTTCTTTCTTTCCCAAGTCTAAATTCCTCCTCCTACTTACTCTCCCTGCCTTCAAGTACTGCCTATACCTCCTCCCTTGCTATTGGTCCTTCAGTTTTTTTTAAACCACTCAGGTGCTTTAGGAAGGCAAGGCAAGGTAAAACAGCAATTCATCTTTACATAAACAAATGCAAAACATCTTTACATGGTTAAAACAAATGCAACACACCTTTACATGGTTAAACAATTTTCCACGACACTAGGTCATCCCCCACCAATTAGCAATCAAGATAAATGTTCTTCAGACATGTCAAGTTGAAAAAAACAAACCAGTACAACTTGAAAAGTGAGATAAAACAGATTCTCAAAGGTCAACAGGATGGTAGCAGGGGCATCACCTGGCTTCTGGTTAGAAATACAAACTCCCCACACCCCAGCTCAAGTTCTGACTAGAAGCTCTGGGAATGGAGTAGTTCTGATCTCTCTGGAATTCTTGGATACACAAGCACCCTCCAATACACAACAGATAATTTCCACTGATGTAAATAGATAGCTGGTTTCAATACTTTTTAGGAAAATCATTATTGTTTATAGATGGTCACTACCGAAGAGAGAGAAAAAAAAAAAGGTTAAGTTTATTTTCACTTTACTGTTGTTGACTGACCAGACATTACAGAAATGCTATGGGAGATTCCTTAGTTGATTCTTCCAGAAAGCATGTGGATCTGGTCTTCCCGGTTCCCTGTTTCTCTGCCTCCCACAAAATAGGTTGCTTAGTCCACCTAGGGAAGATAATCTGAAAGACCACATAAGTTATTCACTTCCTTCACGTGGTTTCCAACAATGTAGACCTCATGGATCAGAAGGTGATCATAGTTACGGTAATGGGCAGCACAGGCAAGGGCCGCTGTACGTGACACATTTCTTCCAATGATAACCCACCTTCTCCAACAAGGCCACACCTCCTTTTCCTTCTCAAGTGACAGTACTCCCTGAGGAGTAAGCTTTCAAATATGTGAGCCCACAGGGGCCGTTCTGACTTAAGCTACCACAGATATGTTTCTTCTTTTTCCCTCAAATATATTTTTATCTTTTGTGTTTTGATAGAGAGTCTTGCTCTGTGATCTTGGTTGGCCTGGAACTTGCTATCTTGACCAGGCTAGCCTTGAACTCACAGAGATCTGCCTAACTCTGCCTCCTCAGTGCTTACAAAAGTACTTTTAAAAAAAGATTTCAATAACATAAATGAAAGTCGTGTGTTCTTAAATTTCATCAGCGTAGCTTTTTGTTACTGGTATGAAATTGAGGTTATACTTGAAATAGCAAACATCAGCCCAGAATCTGCACTGAGACACCCCAGGTTACTTCACACAGCCATGAGGCAGACATTTCTTCTTTGCAATGTACTTTATGGACTGCTTGGTCTGTCATCACGACGATACACCATTCAGCTCCGAATCTCACTGTTATTCCGCAATTACTATTTCAGACCAGGACTGTTTGGTTCACTAGACTTTTAAAAGACACTCCAAAGTACACTGCAGAATCACCTTCGTGAGTCTAACATAACACTCACAATCAAAGCTGTGCGAATGAATCACGAAATTGCCTCGCCGTCTCCTGTTTGTGTGTTCAGCCTTATTCACCTGGCTGTCACCTGGCAATGCACGTCTACTGCACAAGACAGCAGATCTCCAGCAAAAAGCTTGATAAACACACACAGTCGTCAACTCCAGTTCTAAACAAGCAGAAAACAAACTTTAGAGCATTTGTTCCCAATATGAATCCCTCAGAATTGTGGTTGATGATTCTGAATCAGACAGACAGGTAAGGCGGTCCTACAATAATGCTCCGGGGCTGTGAGTCAGGCGGTGAAGTCAGATTAAAGGCACAAAGAAAGTCTTCCTCATCGACAGGCAGGCAACTGCTGGGGAGAAAAATATGTTCCCTGCTTGAAATTAGCCGGCACACATTCCCAACCTACACAACGCTCTCACAAAGGACATCCAAATCTGTCCTTGTTTCTAACGTGTGTTGTGACAGGAGGTGACAGTTTATCAAAGAACTATAATTGCCACCTAAACATCTAGCATTTTGTCAACTGTAAGTGTGTTTAGTGAAAGCATTTATTTAACTTAAAATACAACCGTTTTCCTTGCTTTCTGAAATGACTGCCTGGATTTCTCTTATCCTTAGCAGATCAAGTTGCATCAGAACTGTCTTTGAATTATTTATGTTAGAATTGTGAAGGGGGAAGAAACAACCAGTCACGCAAGAAACAATGACACAGGAAATATGTATATTCTGGTTATTGATTCAAAAGACCCTCAAAAGGCAACAATTCTCACACATGTGTAGAGGTAATATCCAAGCACTCTGTTTCAGGAAGCAGAAAGATTCGGCCCTTTCTCCCCTTCGCTGTTCTCTCCAAATGATGAGCAAATTCGAAGAAGCAATACCTCAACAGACAGAGTGTGTTATCCAGTATGTATTGTCGCTACACAAAACTTGCTCCTGAAGCTGTCAATGATAAGTAGGTTGCTGTGTCTCTCAAGCCATGGAACAAAGAGAACAATGTGAAACCCCTGGATGATCTAGCTGAGTTAGAAAAATGTCAGAATAACGGTCTAAGACGTCACAATCTATGATATAATGATCTATGACATCAGTGGTTCATTTCTTGCTGGAAATTTATCTCAGACATTAATTCAGCAACAAGACCTTTGGTCTCATATTTGTTCTTTGTTGTAACTACTTGGTAAGTAGGAAATTTTCATGCAAGCATTTCTGTACACTTTCCCCTCATCATTCTAATAAACTGGGGGACAGGGAGGAAAAGGGGCCTAAAGTGACCGAGCAGTCAAAGCTATACTTGGAAATCTAGGAAGCCCACATCCTGGTATAGACTAGTCAGTTCATTGTGGGTAGCTTGTTTCTTGGTCCCGGGTTCTCTGGTGGCGAACTGTGATATAAAATGATTGAATGGACTCTGAGCCCTCTTCCATCTTTAACCTATTATGGTTCTGGACAAATCACTGGAATCAAGAGGTATAGCAACAGCCAGATCTTGGAACAAAAATAACAGCAATACAAAAATGGCTTCTACTTAACACCTCAAGAATAATACAACCAGCTACAAGTTTTAAATGTTTACATTAGCATTCAGTCCTATTTAGGTAATATTAAATCTATTTAAAAATCTGTTTTGTTTTTCATTAAAAACTGAAAATGTGTGTCATACTGAGACACTAAAAGAAAAATCAATTTAATTGAAGCTGCAAGTACTTTTTAGTGCCTCTAAATTAAGCTACAGGATTTTCTGTACAAATCACTGTATGTAGCTCATTTGGGATGAATTCCGTGGCACAGGTGTTCCTGTTGGATTTGCTTCTAAGGAAAGAACATGAATGAAGATTTGTGAGCAGAAAGCAGTTGGCATGCATTGTCGATCACAAAGAACATGAACCAAAGAGAAAAGAAAAGATGTTTTCATGTCAAGGGACATGCTGACATCATTAGCATGCTATTTTGAGGTAACATTTTAGCAAGTTCATTGTTAGTTGTTTTCATGACTCTATAATAATATCTCATTAAAAATATAAAAATAAAACTTCATAGCCGAGTTAAATGTTTCTCAGACCTTGTTGTAGATAATGAAGGATTTGCTACTCACTGCTGACCCCTTGCTGGGTCCCAGACTGTTTCTTTAAGCATCTAGGTTGGCTGCTCTTCGCAGCTCTTCATCTTCAGCGCCACAGAGCCGTCCAAGTCTTACACATTGTGACAAGATGTTGCCATCTACAAACACTGAGCTACCTTCCCAGCTACGCCAGTTCACCCGGCCTGTGGGCTGCAGATTTTGATACATTTGACACACGGGAGTCTCCCATGGAATACTGATTTAATTAACACATCAAACCCCCGTAATTACAGATCTTGAAGGTATATCCAAATCCTCCGGAATGAATTTTCATTTTTACAGTTTTCTAACCTTTTGCCTTTTTGCTCTGTTGAAGAAATGGACTAAACATTTTGCACATACCTCCTCCAGCCTGAAGCTTTCCATTTAAACTTGTTTAAGAACCTTGCTTTGTATTTTAGTGTATTCAAATTTAAACATTCCCTAAAAATTAATAACAATTGGCCAGGCAGTTGCCCATGCCTTTAATTCAAGCACTCAGGAGGCAGAGGCAGTCTATCTCTGAGTTTGAGGCCATTTCTGATCTACAGGACTAGGTCCAGGACAGTCACAGATGTATCCAGAGAAACCCTTTGGAAAAACAAAACAAGATAATAATAATAATAACAATATAATATAGGAAAATTCCCATGGAATACAAAGCCTTCTTAATCTGAAAGTGTGCACTAGGTGTCAATCAAGCCTTCTGTTTTGGTTTTTTCAAAAGACGTAAGGTCAAATCAGTGCAACCGTTACCGAAGGGACAGTAACGGCTTCCTGACCACCGGCAGTGCAATGACCGGAAGCTGTTAGGGTCTGTGGTCCAAGTTCCGTTCCAAGGCGGCAGAGCCTGGACCATTTGAATCTAGGATCTCTGGCCAAGATGCCGAACATTAAAATCTTCAGCGGCAGCTCCCACCAGGACTTATCCCAGAAGATTACTGAGCGCCTGGGCCTGGAACTCAGTAAGGTGGTAACTAAGAAATTCAGCAACCAGGAGACCTGCGTGGAAATTGGGGAGAGTGTGCGCGGAGAGGATGTCTACATCGTTCAGAGCGGTTGCGGCGAAATCAACGACAGTCTAATGGAACTTTTGATCATGATTAATGCTTGCAAGATCGCTTCAGCCAGCCGGGTGACTGCAGTCATTCCGTGCTTCCCTTATGCCCGTCAGGATAAAAAGGATAAGAGCCGGGCTCCCATCTCTGCGAAGCTTGTAGCAAATATGCTGTCTATAGCGGGTGCCGATCACATCATCACCATGGACCTTCACGCTTCTCAGATCCAGGGCTTTTTTGACATCCCGGTAGACAATCTGTATGCAGAGCCAGCAGTCCTAAAGTGGATAAGGGAGAATATCTCTGAATGGAGGAACTGTACAATTGTGTCTCCTGATGCTGGCGGGGCGAAGAGGGTCACTTCCATCGCAGACCATTTGAATGTGGATTTTGCCTTGATTCACAAAGAACGGAAAAAAGCCAATGAAGTGGACCGCATGGTTCTCGTGGGCGATGTGAAGGATCGCGTGGCTATCCTCGTGGATGACATGGGCGACACTTGTGGTACGATCTGCCACGCGGCTGACAAACTTCTTTCAGCAGGAGCCACCAGAGTTTATGCCATCTTGACTCACGGGATCTTCTCTGGCCCCGCCATTGCACGCATCAACGGTGCATGCTTTGAAGCCGTGGTGGTCACTAATACCATACCTCAGGAGGACAAGATGAAAGAATGCACCAAAATCCAGGTGATTGACATCTCCATGATTCTTGCAGAAGCCATCCGGAGAACCCATAATGGAGAATCTGTTTCCTACCTGTTCAGTAATGTTCCCTTGTAATGAAATGACATAGATTTTTACATACAGTGAGATAAAATAAAAGTAAACCCTGTTCAATACTTTGCCTCTGTATTTGATGAAATGTTCAATAGGAAACCGAGTGGGGTCCACTGTGGCCTCAAGAGACAGCAGATTGTGGGGGTTTCCCAGCTTGGTTCATTCCAGCTTCTTTGACTGCAAACTTTGAAGCTTTCACAAACTCCATTCCTGCAAGGTTTCTCATCTCCCAACATATTAACAAACAACATGAGGACAAATCAGTCACAAAGCCACTTGATCTATCAAACACAGTCACGTGCTGCGTGTTCACCAGAGTCTTCTGGAAGGTCACGCACCCTGGGCCCTCCTAGCCATGCTCCTGGATTCTCAGTTCACTGCAAGGCAAGAGCAGCTCCCAGTGTGAGCCTGCGTTGGCTTAAATCATCAAACGTACACAGTAGAGCCTCCTCTCCCTTTAGCTTTCCACCCAGGCATCCTCTTGCTGGGCAAATCTGCAGTTGGGTCCAACTGTCCATACTTGTGGAAAGCAATGTCTCTGATAGGTAATGGGTAATATTTACAGTAGGTGCTCTGCCGTAGCCACCCACCACCACCATGGCAGAGTTTAGGTGGCATACAGTGTCTTCTGGGTTGTTTCAACATTTATGCTACATTTTGGCCTTCCCAAAGACCTTGGTTTTGCCTTGTGAGATGATGCTCTCATGTCTTTTAGGGAAAGTCAGTGTAGTGTCTGGGTCTGTGTGAAACTGTGTGGCTCTGAAGATTGTGTTTAATTTCTCATGTCCAAGAAAACAGAGAAAAGCCCCAAGAAATTCTAAAGGCTGGAACAAGAACAAGATAGATGTAAAGAAGTAGTATCCAAATGGCTACTTGCTTCTCATGTGAACTGCCAGGTAATAAGCAAGATGCAATAATAGCTTTTAATTTCTGAAGAAACAGTTTAAGCCCAACTTCTTGTGTTCATTCCAATTTGAAGGCAGAATTAAGGCAAATCTTTTTTAGTATTAAAAGATTAAGAAACTTTACCATTATGGCTTCTTCCAAAAAGTATTGCTGGAAGTTACTGAACTCTCAACATTTGGGAAGCTGAGGCAGTAGGATTAAGAGTTCAAAGTCTGCGACATAGTGAGTTTCAGGTCAGACAGTCTGAGATACACAGTGAGCGCCTACCTCATACACGTTCATGTACACTTTGTATATCTACAGCCTAAAGCGGGAACACTAGGATGACTCCCAGAACATTTGCTGACGGGTACAGGCAGTGCCTGAGATGAACCTGAATAGAAGAACAAAATCGCACTGACAAGCATCTTCAAATTATCTACTTGTCGTAAACCCAATTAAGATCCTTATAGGAACTTTTTAATGAAGCAGACCTGACAGGCTTTTCTCAAAGTTCATCTGGAAGAATTCATCGAGGACTTTTTGAGAGTGTGTTGTGTTACAGTATATTAAAACATAAAGCCCTGGGAGTACAAACAGGAGTATTGTGAGTATACACACAATACTGCAGAATTTAGATTCTCGAAACACACCCATGCATTCTTGCAGGAATTCCATACACATGTCCCCCATTTAATGGAGCAATTGGCCGTGATACCAGAGGAAGCACATAACTGTATCGTCCTTAGGACACTCGTTCTCACGAGCCCCTGCCTTGGCATCCACCCTTGCTGTCTACACAAGTTCTCTGAAGTGGAGAACGAGCCTTTCGGCATATTCTCAGGGGACACTACTCAGTCGTTCATCCATCCGACAACAGTAGTCGCATGGCGAGCGCCTTCGTGCTGCGTCCGCAGCTCCTGCAGGCCCTGGTCCTTCTGTTTCTTTGAAGGAAATACATAAATTCTTGATTGTGCACCTGACTATAGATGAGATATACGACAATGCGACTTCTATCTTAGACTCATTGTAACACTATTTCCCTTTTTAAACGAGGCTTGTCAATTTCTTATAAGCCTTATTTGAAACAAGCTTCTCACGGAATACAAAATAAATGAAGAATGTCCACTCACATAGTAGATAACATGTATTTAAATCCATCTAATTATCACTAGCTTGTTGGCCACAACTCTAGAAAACTGATATAGATCTGGAATGAATCTACAGTCATTCTACCCTGTGCATGCCTCATCCCCTCAGATTCTGGTACCAAGAGGTAGGATGAGATAGAAAAAAAAATAAAGCTGGCTTTTGAATAGGGAATCTGTCGATGCGGGAAGGATTTTAGGGTATGACTGGCAAAGCTAGCAGGGCTAGAGAGATGTCTCAGCAATGAAGAAGACTTGCTGCTCTTGCAGAGGACCTAAGCACAGCTCCAAGCACCTAAACAGGGGCTCAGAAACTTCTGTAGCTCCAGTTCCAAGCAATCCAATGTGTTCTTCTGACCTCTTTGGGCACCCAGCACAGGCAAGAAAAACACCCAGATACATGAAAAGAAAAAAGAAAGAAAAAAAAAACCTAGATTATTTCAAAGTACATGTGTGTATGTGCGTGAATGCGAACATATGTATGTAAATGCTGTATGCATGTGGGTGTATGAGTGTGTATGGTATGTGTATAGAGTATATGCGTGTGTGTGTTTACATGTGTTTGTGGTATGAATATATATGTATGTGTTTGAGTGTGTGTGTATACATGTATGTGTACATATGTGTGTGAGAGAGAGAGAGTGCGTGGTGTATATGTATATCAACATAAGCAGGTTGCCAGCAAAATACAATTATTAAATGTATTTCTGATGAGGTCTCAAATCAAAATGGAAAATAGATTATTGTAAGCTAAAGGGATGTCTGTATCTATTGTAAAATGGTAAAAAAAAAAAGTTGTTCTACTTTGAACAGGAAACAACCTGGAATGGTGAACTTGGACATTTTGTCTTAAGCGAGTCCAGCCTAAACATGGGTTTCACTCCACTTGCTAGTTACAATAAAACAGAGAAAACAGAGGGGAATAGGGACGGAGGAGCCCAGCCAACAGAGCTGGGAGCCAGGAGCCAATTTACTCGTCAGTTCTCAGACTAGCTAGTTTGCAGAGGACGCTAAAATGAAGAAATCCATTACTGGTAAAGCGTGCTCTGGATAGAAGCCCCAGGGCATGCCTGGATAACCTTTTGTGAAAGAAATTTGGGATGTGACTCACGGGCACAATCAACCATCTCAGAGGAGGCAGGACCAGACACTCAAAAGACAATAGAATCTTAGATACTCAGCTATTGTGCTTCCGCTGATTTTTTTTTAAGTTGATAGAAGATTCCCTAATGAAGGATAAACATAGCAATAATGAAGTGTCTTAAATACCAACCTAAGGTTTTTCATTTACTCAAAAAAGCAACGGGGCACTCTTGTAGGTTTTGTAATGTGTTTTCAGTAGATGGCCTTGTGAAGGGAATCATACGTTTTGGGGGAACTGAGCAGCAATGAGCAAAGAAAATTGCACTGGAAAGCATCTAGAGCTGGAAACCACAGCATCTTGGGTAGGATGCATTTTAGAGTTCAGACCTACACAATACACATCTCTCATTTACAATAAAGATGGCTAATCCCATATGGGGCAGATGCTAGGGTGGGCCAACCCTGGACTGAGCTGTGGGTCTGGGTGGTGGTTGAGCTGGTCGGTGAAGGGACTGGTCCTGTGGAACAATAACCACAGGATCTCCATGACGTGGGGCAACTGTGGGATATCCAAGCTGAGTTCCGTTGAGGAACCGGTGAAGATGGTGTGCTAGAAACCAAAGACCTTGACCCAGACCAGTGACTCATGGCAATGATCATTTGCCAGTAAAGCTAAGGGGGCACTCGGGTTTCCTGAGAACACACCATGGCTTCCAATGCCGTCAGGATGAATGGAGAGGTGTTGGAGAAGTGAGAAAGATCCAGAAGTGAAGAAGTTCTGTTGGGTTTTTGTTGTTGTTTTTGTTTGTTTGTTTGCTTATTTTAGGTTTGGTTGGTTTGATGTTTCCTTTTTTTTTAAATTTTCATTTGGATGGAGAGGATATGGAAGGACTTGGAGGTGAACAGAACTGGGGTGCATGATGTGAAATTCCCAAAGATTCAATAAAGAAATTATGTAAAATAAAAAAGATGCCTAATCCCTAACCTCACTCAGAATAAGGATGCCTAATCACTATGCACCACAGACTGTCCGCAGGAATTCAGTGTGAGTGTAAAGGTTGAGATGGACCAGGCATCCTCTTATCGGATGACATGATTAATGGTGTTTTCTTCAGAATGGCTTCATTGGGTGTTTGCTAACAAGCTTACCAAATCCTGACACTGTTTCAAAGACGCAGTCAGACGATTATACCACAAGGCATCCTTCAAGAATTAGAAAAGATAAGGTTGTGACTGGCTTTAAATCATACATTGTGTCTGGATTAGTCATTATGCAACTAGTGACTTCGTCGGCGGTTTTTGTACTCATCATTCTTCCTGATTTTCCAGTAAATCCATTAATTTAAATTTTTTAAAAAATTTATTCTTCTCTCATAGATCACATCCCAACTATAGTTTCCCTTCCCCCCTCTCCTCTCCTCTCCTCTCCTCTTAGCACCCCATCCCCCCATCCACTCTTCTGTTTCCCTTCAGAAAAGAGAAGGCCTCACAGGGACATCAACCAAACACTGCAATATCAAGTGGCAGTAAGACTAGGCACCTCCCCTCCTATCGGGGCTGGACTAGGCCACTCAGTAGGAGGAAAGGGTCTCAAAAACAGGCAAAAAGAGAAACAGCTCCTGCTACCACACTTAAGAGTCCCACAAGAAGGCCAAGCTGTACTACCCTAACAAACAAGCAGAGGACCTTGACCAGAAGCACACAGGCTCCGAGATTGTTGCTTCAGTCTCTGTGAGCCCCTGTAATCCCAGGTTAGTTCATTCTGTGGGGTTTCTAGGACATCCTTGAACCCTCTGGTTGCTACAATCTAACCTTCCTCTCTTCTTCAGAAATCCATTAAATATTAAGCCTGGTTTATCTGCACATGCTAAGTAATACCTGGGATAACTCATCATTCCATGCAAACAGAGACCTCTTTTTGCAACATTAAGTGGTCTCTGGTTT